TTTTTTTAAGTCGAATACAAAATCAAATAACAAAAATATGATATAAATATGTCATTTTTTCAAAAATATTATTATCTATCTTTTTTGTAATGGATGATTTTACTCAGGGGCGTCATTTCACATTTTTTCATGGGATGCAAAACCAATATTAAAGGTTAGCGAGCATGATTGTGTACCATTTTATTATTTGTTTCACAGAGTATATAATATTATAAATTATAATAATCTGGATAAATTATACATGTGATCAATATTATATTATTATTATGTTATATTTTTATACGTAGTGGTGCTCCACAAAATATTGTGATAAATCAAAAAAAAAATACCAACATTATTGTTATTTGTTTTATACTATGATTCTATGAAAGGATCTACACAAAAGTGTGTTAAAAAAAAATTCATGGGATGCATTTGCACACCCCTGCATCCCGCAAATAACGTCACTGATTTTACTTTAAGATTTCTTAAAAACACAGGAAAAACGATTCTACGTAAATGCGTTTTGTTTAAGTTGAGTGTGGACCAGAGAGAGAAAACAAAGTGTGTGCTGATATCCTCTTAAAGATTTTATACCTCTTGCACATTTCCATTGCTGTCCATGAGTTTAATTAGTGGATCCAATCCACGTACATATCTGATTGTTAAGTTAGGGTACTTGTTGGGACGATCACTTTTTATAAATGCTAAAACAATAAAAATTACAAATTTATATCATTTTTACGGTAAGTGCTTCATTATTATTATATAGTAATTAATTATTTACATTGTATAACATTTGAAAATAAGCCATCAATAAAAATCTTGTTATTAAAAAAAATGTCTTATTTTTGTTGTTCTACTTATATATAAAATAACTAAGAAGTAAGAGTTTACATTTTAAACTATGATCATTTTATACTTGAATACAATACAATTAAATTATTATTGCTAAAAGATGCGAATCATGGCAGTGCTGCACATGGCACACAAAAGTGTTATGGACAGCAACCACAAAACTAAGCTGTTAGACCACCCCTCAAAAAAAATAAAAAATATGTTTAAAAATTATTGATCATATTTCAACAAAGCTCCCACTTCCWTTTTTTGGAAAGAAAGATTTAAGCAACCCTAAAATTCAATCATATCCTTTACTATGTAACTACAATCAACAAAGAACAAGTCATGAAAACTTAACAATGAGAATATGAGCCTAACGATAAATTGAAAATATAACAATAGAGACTTCAAACATTATGCTGTACAAGCATTACAAAATGATAGGTATAAATGTATAATGATATATGACACAGAATTAAATATTAATTGTTATAATATGGCAATATCATAAAAGACACATAATAGTATAGACCTAAAGCTCATATTTCATAAATAACACAAAAATTTAAAATTATAACTCAAAATATGAGGAGTATATTACCTAGTGAGAATGAATTTATATATTTTTTTTTTGATAGAAACGCGTGTCATATCATAATCGTCTCATAATAATTGTTGTGTATTAAAATAAAGTTTCACATTCACATCAACTAACTTTTTTTGATTTCCTTACCTACATCTTTACAAAAACAATAATTGTTCATTCTCTTAAAAATATATGTCAAAGTAGTTTCATTTCATCACTAGTCCAGTATATTSGTCTAAGCATATGATTAGGTCATCAGTAAAGTAAAACATATTACATTACATATTTTGGAATATTTTTAACTAAATTTTTTTTAAGATTTACCACTTGAAATCCTATCATATTCACTAGTTTTTCTAAGAGATTAATGATGACATAAAATGATTTTGTTTTATAATTACAACCATGCAACATATCAAAATATGTTTTCTTTTAATTTAATTGTGGATGGTTAAGCAAAGAAAATGTTATTGTATGGAGATATCATGCCTTATGAGTTATGACTTTTTACCAATTAATCTGATGGTGATTATTTAATAGTTAACATAAAAAACTTTTAAATTCTTACCCAATATATTTGAAACTCTAAATGAGTAGATTAATTGCGATATTAAATAAAAATATTTACAGTTTATATAATAAACTATACCAATTTAAAATAAAATTTGATCATATACCTTGAATCTGAGGATAAGCACCAAATTTACAAGTACAGACTTCCAATCTGGCTTTTGCATATACTTTAATAGATTTTTCTTCATCAATTTGACAACAGTTAATGCAGTGTTCTCTGTAATAAAATAAAATAATTTAAATTTATTTTATACTTGAATCTAATTTTAATGAAAATATTCTCATGTTCTGTTTCTATACTCTGTTAAAATGTTAATTAAAAAATTAGGGTATATCAGTGTATTGTGTTGTTTTTTCCTAATAAACACACAACATAACCTGTCCAGTTATCTTGACACTTGGCCACAGTTACAAAACTATATGATATTTTTTTATATATAAATGGTTTAGGGTCAGTTTTTAAAAATCTTAGTAATTGCTGAGTAAAAAATGAACTGTGTGAGTTATAAATATGTTATTTTCAATATTAGAGTAAATTAATTTAGCATAAAAATTGAATGTTCCTATAACTACTATCTAAGTATGATTTATCTGACCTTTTGATTTTAAAACAAGTTATGAGCATTTTATAAAATTATTCTAATTTTTTCATGAAATTTGACAAAT